TATATTGCTCATAGTTATAGAATTAGACTGAAAAACGAAAAATGATTTAGAAAATGTTTAAAATTTAAAAGTATTGTAATCTACTTTGATTCTATTTAGAAAAATATACTTCCAGTTGTGTGACAATAACACGCTGATAGTTTCAAAATTTCCGCTGGGTCTTTTCAGATTTTGATTTTCAAATAATGCTCTCAGGAAAATCCTTTATTCCCCAAATAATTTGTCCTATTGAAATTTAAAAAGAAAAGTTTTAGTTATAGTTTCTACAAAAACGGCTTATAATATTTTATTTGTACTAATAATCTGTATAATTACAATTCTTCGGGTAAAATACTACAAAATTTCATTAATATCGCGTATACTTAATTTTTTAGAATTACTATTGGAGCTTTACACTTATTGTTTACATTTGGTATCAGCTTTTTCATTTTAGAATTCATTTTAGAATTCTCACAACTTTAGAATTCTTTCTAATTAAAAAAAAAAAATTAAAAAAATATAGAAATTGTTTTTAAATTCTTTAAAACTCAAATTGACAAATAAAATTTGCAAAAAAAAAATTTTTTTCTATTGCAAAGATCACTTTACAAATAAAATAAATTTTAATTAAGAAAAATCCTTCAACTACAACCACAGAAAATTGAATTCCGTATATTTAATAATCACAGAAACAAAACCTAATCTAAACTTGACAATATTAAAAAGTCCATATTTCAAGAGCAATTTCGGTATCAGAAAAATTATAATTTGATTTCTCCCTTTTCCCGTTTAATTCACATAAATTACATGATATATTTGATATGGAAAAACTTATACATATAATAAAATGTTAAAATGATAATTTCAAAATTGCTATCAATATGTTATAATTATACAAGACAGTCCATTTAGGTGAGTTCACCTAAATATCTTTTCGAATTGTGATGATGCAAAAATTATTGTTTGCCTAACATGATATCGAAAGACCAATAACTGATAAGGAAATTTTTTTTTCAAGGTTATTTTTTCCGGAATTTTCAAGGTCATTGATGTTTTTTTCATACAATTATATATTTTTTTCATTATGTCGTGTAGCTGGTAAAAAAAAATAAAAAAAAA